TAAATTCCTTCAAGAGAGAACCTCCAGAAGAGTGCAAATAATTTTCCCAGATTAAGCAACAGAAAAATGACACCCACTTAAAATCAAGAGTGAACTAGAACATAAGGCTCTCTCCCAGTGAAATTTCACTATGTACCACACACCTACAGAAAAAATATGATCATGGAAACCCTCCACATTCTTCTTATGTTAAGGTAAAATATGATATATCAATCATTAAGATATTTTATGGCCAAAGATAAAAATAAATGTCTTCTGAATAAAAAAAAATTTTTTTTTAATGCTTAAGAGATACCTGTTGGCTGTATTGTGTTCTGATTGGAATGGCTTATACCGAAAGTAAACCACTTGCCAAAAGAAACTGCAGTAGTTATACATACAAGTTTTGCAAGACTTCAGAAAATATTGAGGGGAAAAAAAATCAAAGCATTTAACTTAGACGCTATCTACTTGCTTTGCTATCCACATTTTCTCCTTTTCTTAAAATAGACTGCATCCAATCCTGTTAAAATCTGATGGTACTTTTCTAAAAACCAGTTTACTAAATTTAATACTAGTTTTTGGAGTATCTAATTTATTAATTTGCTTAATTTTTATTTTCCTTTAAAAATGTTAAACCATGAAAGAATTTATGACTACGCTTTTGCCTCAGAGTACAGCTTCAGCCACATCCCATAGGTTTTTCACATGCAGAAGGTTATTACTTTTTCAATAACCTATAATTCTACTTTTTTTACTTCCTATTTCAGGGCTTAGGGGAAAATGCTTTTTAAAATTGTCAAATGGTATTTTCACTAAATGAGTACTTTTACTTTCTTTTTAATTATAAAAGTATTATTTTTAAAATCTGTTAAGTCAGATCACTAACATATCCATAAAGGCAACCTATAAGTATGACATATTACATGTTATAGTAACTTATTTAGAATATCTTTAGTTTGCAGTGCTGATATTATTTGAAGTTTATAAATTATTTAAAGGAAAAAATTATAAGCCAGATAATTCTGTACATTTATTGGTGAACAGCACTTTGCATGAAGTAGTATATATTTGTCACACATTTCCTTTTCTAAGAATTAAAGATGTCAGTGATCAGTAATTTTGTAAATTCTTTTAAAAGAACCTATCTAATGTTAAGGTTCTAAAAATTAAGCCAATGTTTAAATCATTTGATAATATAAAAGAGACTGCAAACCTCAACTATTCTATCACTTCTAAGGCCACTGTTTAAAAATTCTCAAACATTGTCCTAAATTTCCTAAAAATAGAAACACTAAAGCCTTTATAAACCAAATGAATGCCATGATTTATTCTTCACATCCCTTTAGATCAGCTTTTTTTTTTAAGAACAAAAAAAAGCATTATACTAGTAATATCTGTTCTTATAACATCTAACTCTAGCAATTAAAATTAAGCTACTTGTTTTAATACAGTCTTGTTAAGAGAATACCCCTGAGATTTTCTTCGTTATAACAC